GGCACATTCGCGATAGAAAAGTGGCGCTTTCACGTTATGGTATTACAACTGTGAAATTACAAACAAAAAGTACACATTCTGAGATATGAACTGAAATGAATTGTGAATTTTATTAACATTAAATCGTCCTCCTCCCATTTTCACCTCAAAATTATGGGGAAGCTGTGCCTCCCCTGCCTCCCCCGACGAGCCGCCACTGATGATCATGCATCCTTAATTAATCATTTAAATTTGCTAATGATTGCAAAGCATGCATAATATCATGTGCATGCATGCACCTTTGAAGGTTTGTGCTTTTGTACGTGTGTGTAGTACACCATCAGACAGGCTTTCCTTTCATCCCTCACTACAACACAAACATCATCATCTCCAGTGTTCAGAGAGCCGTCGCTCAGCCTGCAGGTTTTGATGTGTGAACCACACACTCCTGCTGTTACCCCCCATCAGCTGCGAGGGGGAGGGGAGCGTTTCCTGTCACCGCACACACACACACACACGAGCGCCCGGGTTCCCCCTGCACGGGGGTCAAAGGTCCCCGCAGTGTGGGCTGCCAGAATATGACTTTAATTAACGTAGATGTCTCACTTGACGACGTCTCGCTTATTTTAAAGAATAGAGGAGAGATAAAGCAAAATGAGGAGATGCGTCTCTATCTGTTGCGCTTCGGGCGGTCCGCAGTAATGAACATGTCATTAAGCGAACACACGCACACCAGTAGCTTGAGATAGACTGTCTATTTCTGGTGACTTTCATACCGCCTGCATAAATTGACTGACAGATCAACTGACGTTCTTAAATGTGTCTTGTTTTTCCTTAAGATATTAGCATACACCAACACTACATCATACAACCACGATTATATGATTGTTTTGTAGACTGTAATGAATTATAAGATAACTAACAAACTGGTAAGATTTTAAAACAGTTTTGTCTTAAATAAATATATTTTATCACCTAGTTTGAACTTGCCGCTTGCTTGCAACTTCTGTCTCCACGGAAGCTTTGCGTTCAAATATTTCAACTCAAATCAATATTTTGTGTCTAATTATTTACTTATGTGGCAAGTAACCGTGTAATAAGCGGGATAATGTACATCCAGCCGGTTGTTATTGCAGAATAACCCCCTTCAGGGTGATACAAGACCACCCTGATCACCCTGAGCGGGGGTTATTCTGTGATAACAACTGGCTGGATGTACATTTTCTTACTTATTATCATTCTGTGCTAAGAAACCGCTGTCTAGGAACATAAATGTAAATGTTCATATATGTCTATTAGTCTTTTTTTCTGTCTTTGACCAAGCTGTTTATTTATTTATTTATTTATTCGTTAATTCATTTAAATAATAATTTTGATTACCTAGTAAGTCCTAAAATTAACTACAGGTTTGGGAAAACATTTATTTTATTTTTATTTTATATATTCTTATATGTCTTTTTTTCTCTCTCAACAATGAATTAATTAATTTATTCATTCGTTCATTTTAAACATATTTTTTATGTCCAAAAAAATGTTTTTTATTTATTTTTTTGCTATTTTGTTTGCAAATGCTATTGGTGCAAAAATTCCACATGCCACCTTTACATATTATATTAGTATACATCTGATTATCATCTAAAAAAGCAGATTTTCATACATTCTGAATAGTGAACATTGCAAAAATAAAAAAAATTAGCGATGTATTACATACGAGCGGACAAAAAAATGCATCTTCAATATGAAAGCGATACTCTGAAGAGACATCTTGACAAAGTACACTGTGTATTTTGGTATGAAATTACACTATATTGTCAAACTAGGAGTTATTTTGGAGCTGAATGTAGAAAAAGACGTTATTATCGTATATGCATATGTATGTATTTGCATTAATAGAGGGATTTTTTCCTCATTTCAGCTGGGAGACACTGGCATGTACACCTGCACCGCGTCCACCCCCAGCGGAGAGGCGTCCTGGAAAGCTTACCTGGAGGTGCAAGGTACGACAGAGACACCGCCCGCAAGATAACAGACAATAAGAGAGAGAGGCGTTGAGAAACGGACGACAGGAAATTAAGTTTAAAATTGAGTTTGAGATTAAACCTTCATCTGGCTGTAATTGGTTTTCATTGATTCTTGATGCAAATTTGAGCCGCTGCACTGCAAAAAAAATATTTTGTTTCTCAGTATTTTTGTCTTGTTTTCCAATATAAATAACTGAATGTCCTTAAAGCAAAATACATATATGCTAATGGGGTGAGAAAAATAAACGTAATTCAATGGACAAATAAGTTTATTATGTATTATTATGTATTATTATTACAAAATACTTCCAAGGCACTCACGTGGTAAGATAAAAAGCCTTTAATGAACTGGGCTTAAATCATTACAACTAGTTAAAAGTAGATCTACGCGTTTCGGCAAAACAGCCTTCTTCAGGACACACATCAATTGCTCAAACAGGTATTCTTAAACTAGTGTTAATTAATGAATCATCAAAGACAGCTGGTTAATATGTGGGTGTGGCTAAGAATACCCTCTTGTTACAAAGAGAGAAAAAAAAAGTAATAATAATAATAATGGGGAAAAAAGGCTTTTTATCTTACCACGTGAGTGCCTTGGAAGTATTTTGTCTACATAATTTGATTTTTACCTCCATCACTTCCAATGAGCACCAGTGGCTATATAAAGACACCCGTGTAGCACTCTCTGCTTCTGGTTCTTGTAAGAGTTGTTCTGGACAAATAAGTTTATTTATCCTATTGGCAAATATTTTTTTTCTTTCGATGTTAAACATAAAGCTTGCAGAATTGTTTGATTTTTCCAAAAACATGACTTGATACCTCTTTAATATTTCATATAATGTCTCATATTGCATATGGTCCTTTGCTTCCCAAGTAAATTGACCTTGTTTTAAGGATCTTTAGATATTTATTTATTTAATTTTAAGGTTATTTAGACTAGACAAAAATTTAAAAAAAATTTTTTTTTTAATTTTTCGGTTTTTGGGTGTAATGTTCTTATGTGTGTTTATGGTTTCAGAGTTTGGTGCTCCGGCTCAGCCGGGTCGACCCACAGATCCCAACCTCATCCCCAGCGCCCCCTTCAAACCAGAGGTCACGGATGTCAGCCGCACCTCTGTGTCTCTGTCCTGGAAGCCCAACCTGAACGCTGGAGCCACGCCCACCTCTTACATCATAGAAGCCTTCAGGTGACATCATCAGTTTTGAGCATACTTATCTATCATTGGTGGGTTTGGTTGAACGAGCATGTGTTTTACAAACGTTTGTAAATAGCGTTCACAGGCTAATGGGGGTTCTGTAAATACCCAGTCCATTTACTGCAGCGTGTCATAAATAATCATACCCATGTCCGTGCTTTCCTGAAAGCATTTTTCCTCATTGTTTGGGATAATGTTTGTAGTTGCGATATTTCGCTATAAAGTTTGGGCCGCAGGGTAAACTGAAGTTTGATTTGTGTGGTGTGGACGGCAGCCATGCGGCGGGCAGCAGCTGGCAGACGCTGGCGGATCACGTGAAGACGGAGAGCTTCGTCCTAAAGGGTCTGAAGCCCAGCGCCATCTACCTGTTCCTGGTGAGAGCGGCTAATGCGTACGGCCTGAGTGACCCGAGCCCCATCAGCGACGCTGTCAAAACACAAGGTCAGTTTACCTTTGACCTCCCGGACAAGTGTCTTTTCATGAGTTTTAAATATTGCACCCGTGAGAATTATGAAATGTATCACCCTTTTGTGTATTATTCTGGGGTATTTGGTATTCATATATGCTTGTGCTCCATATTTTCTGTGTGGTTTGTGTTTATGTGAGTAGACGTCCCACCAACCAGTCAGGGAGTGGACCACGGGCAGATCCAGAGGGAGCTGGGAGATGTTGTCATTCACCTCCACAATCCCACAATTCTCTCCTCGTCATCTGTCAGAGTCCAGTGGACTGTGAGTGCTGCCACATCTTCTTTTAAAGGGACAGTTCACTCAAAAATGAACATTCTGTTTAAAGTTTAGTCACAACTTGGCATGTTATTCAAATGATCTCACTGGCAAAATGCAGTTTTAATCAGTGCTTTATCTTGTTTTTCAGTGAAATACTGTATCTAAACATCCTAAAAGTAAGATATACTTTATTGGAAATCACAAACTTGTACGATAATTATTTATTTAAAGAGAATATTTATTCAGTTAAGTAAATAACTCACTGGCAAATTGCTGTTTATTGTGTTTTAAGCATAAATTTCACTTTTTTTCATTTTATGTGGCACTGAACAAATGCATTTAGTGTTAATTAAACAGTATTTCCTAAACATCTAAAGTCGAGGTTAATTCTGTACAGATTTTCACCCCACAAACGCATGCACGCACAAACAGAAATATTCCCAGCATGTTACTTGTTTAACATTTTGGGTCGTTCGCACTTTATACGTATTTAATCAGAAACAGCTGAAACGACATCTGCTTTTATTGGGGCGGATCAAGAATTGATTAAAATCTTTACAAGCGTGTACAGTTCTCCTCCCTCCACGGCCATATGGACTGATCCCAGTGTGCTGAACACCTCCAATATGAAAATCACTTCACATAAGAAGTCAACAGAAGCTCAAATCTGAATCTTCATTTGTTGAGTTTGCATATTAAACCTAGGATAAGTATGTCAACGCACAAAGCCACAAAACAAGGTTTTCTTCCAAAATGTTAGAAATATTGCAATAAAAAATGAAAATATTTAGTTAAAAACATTAATGCCTGGGCTTATAGTTATACGTTTTGTTAGTAATTGTAATAGTTACAGTACATTATAATACTTAACTATGTTAGTATGAAAGATGCCTAATAATAAAGCATAGTTTGGCTAACTAGTAACAAACGTCGTAAAACTTGCTGTCTTTAAAGCTTCCTGGTCCTGGATAATGCTAGTGGTAATCATTAGCAGGCGTTTAAAACATCTAAGTGTTTTTGTCCTTCAGTTTTGCCTTGTTCTTCCTCTAGGTCGAGCAGCAGTCTCAGTACATTCAGGGCTATAAGGTGATGTACCGGCCGTCCCCAGAGGGCGCTCAGCAGCGGGTGGAATGGGCCATGCTTGAGGTTCGAACCCTGGGGGAGAACAGCGCAGTCGTCACCCAGCTCAAGAAGGGCGTGACCTATGAGTTCAAAGTCCGACCTTTCTTCAATGAGTTCCAAGGCACCGACAGCGACATCAAAGTGGGCAAGACCCTGGAGGAAGGTGACTGTGTGCTCTGTGTGCTTTAAAGCTTAATGTCCCACGATTCCTTTCTCATTCACTTCACAGAAGTCACAATACAAAGTCATATGAAGTGAACAGTTGCTGCCTTGCATGTCTGAATATTTCGGTTTCGGACATGGTGTTGTGTATGTGTGTGTGTGTGTGTGTGTGTGTGTGTGTGTGTATGTGTATGGAATGTATAAAAGAATATACGCAGTCCTGGATAAGCGGTGGAAAATGGATGGTTGGATTGATCAAATAAATTTTTTTTTATAAAATGTAAAAAAAATGTATCAAAATAAATAATATTTAATGTCAAAATATAAATTATAAATATTTTTAAACTCACAGCCCTGGCATCATTTGAATTTCTGGATTTGGTTCGATCAAGGTTTTTGGATTAGGTTTCGGACAAGGTTTCAGTCAGATTTTTCATGCTTTCAATTTTAGGTTCACATATGGTTAAAATATAATATCAAAATAAAATAATAAAATAATATTATAAGTACTTTTTTACGTTTGTTTTGGACAAGGTTTTAGTAAGTTTTATTTCAGGTTTACATTTTGTGAAATATACATTATAATAAAACTTTTTATTTTTATTTTATTTAAATTATAATAAAATACAAAAAAATGATCATACATTGCATAAATTGAATATAAATTATTCTAAATATTTTTGCATTCACATTCCTGGGCGAAATCAATCAGTTTTGCATTTTGCATTTGCGCCTGGGTGTACCCGCTCAGACAGGAAATAGAAAGACATTGAGTTTATTTTTGGGTTTGGCTTGATCACATTTACAGGCTACAGGCTTTCTGCATGCCCGTGCTGACCTCTAGAGTAAGAAAGGCTTTCCCCTGCATTCAGTACTTCTCATTTATGTTAACGTGTGGTCTGCGGCCCACGAGGGAGGGCAAAGAGGGCTGTTTAAAACGCTTCACGAAAGCCAAGCAGCCAATAAGCCAAAAACCGAAAGCTCAAACAACTGCTGTGCTAATTGTTCTGAGGGTGTGGCGTCTGTGGCTCTGGAGAACGCCGGCCATTTGGTTTGCTCCAAATTTGCCTGTGTGTGTGTGTGTGTGCCTGCTTTTTTATGTAATTGAAATGCAAAACGTCAGAGACAGCAAACACAAAGCAAATGTTTCACTTCAGGGCTTTGTGTTAACATTCATGTATTAAGTGGATAATAGTTATGTGAAGTGAAGTACTGTGACAACATTCTGTTCGCCCTGAGCTCAAGCATTCGTTCTGCTGGTATTTGGCACTGGGACGGCCCAATCATGTTGCTTGGCAGTCGCCTCTCATTATTTAAGTGCACTAATACCGCTGAGTGTGTACTGTTAAAATGAGTGCTTACATGCGTTTCAGAGAACACACACACATATAGCCCATATACATGCACATATGAAATTTAAGATGTTAAGAAGGCATATATGCACATGCAAAACACGCGTGTATATTGTAAGCTGTGTGTAACATCCCGCTCGTGTCTCTTATCGCAGCGCCCAGCGCCGCTCCCAGGGGGCTCACCGTAACGGGAAGCGGAGACAACGGCACAGCTATTCTGGTATCCTGGCAACCGCCCCCAGAGGAGGAGCAGAACGGCGTGGTGCAGGAGTATAAGGTATGAACCTGAGGAAACAGACAATGAGAGAGAGAGACAAAGAGTTTATGAAAAAACAGAATGAAGGATGGTAGTAGAAGAAGTAAATAGGTGGAAGAGGAAATTACATTTACTGGCTTATGCTCCATTCATTTTATGATGCGCTGCTGAATGAGTGGTGAGAGTGTAGTGGATAATGGGTTGATTTTCATTGGGGGGAATTTAGATGTTGTGACATGCTGCCACCTTGTGGTTCACCTGGAGCATTACCACAACTTCTGCCAGATAGTGTTGTGCTCATAGGGAATGTAGTGATTTGTGTGGCTCTTTTGATTTGACTTATTTTCTGTGTGTATGAGTGTGTGTGTGTATATATAAATTTTCTTAAGATAGTTATGTTTGAGAATTATAAATAATTTTTTTAGATGCTTTGTGTCTTTTAGTGTCCGCTTTTTGTATTTGTAGTCATACGCAATCGTACATACTAGCAAATATAACTGCGGCAACAATTTCCTAGCTATCTTCCATTCTTTCTCTTTATTTATGTTCTTTCTGCGTGTCTTCATGTGCTTTTCATGTCCAAACAAGATAACAGAGCCCATCTCATCCAATATTCCTCTCAGGTGCTGAAATTTTAATGGCTTTGCGGTGTATCAGTATTTAGTTCGTAGGCCGCGGCTGACAGGAAGAGGTGCGGTTTGAGTCATTCAGTCCCAGTTAATTTTCCAGGTAAATGTTTTCAGGCAGTTGAAGGAAGGTAGTGATTCATTTCATGCTTGTTAAATTGGGCGTAGGAGGATTTATCGCTAATCACTTTTCTTGTACACTTATTTTTTTCTGCCCCATTGTGCCTCAGGAGAACTTCAGAACCCTCAGAACGTCCCCGCTCACTTTCTCTCTTTCGACCCATAATCCACTTTTTTTTTTCCTCTGAAGCCTTCAGGGATGTCTAAATCTAGTTAGCGTTTCCGAAAAAGGGTAGGTGAGCATAGAGAAACATGTAAAAAGCATTTTTTCTATACATTGTGTAGATCAGTGTGTTATTTCCATTCATACGCATGCAAATGCGTCAGACCGGAGACGCAAGCTCGTGTGAAAAGTTTTGCATTTTGCTGCGTTCCAAAGAAAAAAAATCATATCTCAAAGGTTTCTTGCTGTTTTTGAAGGAGTTGTGGTTGATGTGCCTAACTGAATGGTGAAATTGTGATGAAACGATGGGTTTGATGGAACCACACAAGCAGTTCTGTCTTGGCAAGGTTGAGTTGAAGGTGATGGTCCTTCATCCAGCAAGAAATGTCTGTTAGACAAGCTGAGATGCGAGCAGCTATCATCGGATCATCAGGATGGAATGAGAGGTAGAGTTCTGTGTCATCAGCATAGCAGTGGTATGAAAAGCCATGTTTCTGAATGACAGAACCTAGTGATGCCATGAAGACAGAGAAGAGAAGTGGTCCAAGAACTGAGCCCTGAGTGATATGAAAAGCCATGTTTCTGAATGACAGAACCTAGTGATGCCATGTAGACAGAGAAGAGAAGTGGTCCAAGAACTGAGCCCTGAGGCACCCCAGTAGTTAGATGTTGCGACTTGGACACCTCACCTCTCCAAGATATCTTGAAGGACCTATCTGAAAGATAAGACTCAAACCACTGGAGTGTGGTTCCTGAGATGCCCTTTGCCAATAGGGTTGACAGGAGGATCTGGTGTCAAAAGCAGTGGACAGATCCAGCAAGATAAGTATTCGAATTTGAATCACGTGAAACCATGTAACCAACAGCAGATCGATACGTCACAGTATGACCTCCTAGCTGAATTAAAAGAACATAAATTTTAAACTGCAGCGATGCAGGAAAGTGGAGTAGATTGTATGTTTTTACATTTTAGATGTATTATAGTGTTGAATTTAAGTTTTAAAAAGACGCTGCAGAGTGTGACGTCATATCACGACTGTTGCAGCGTACGAAGAAATTTCGCATGCTCAAAATCTAGTGTGACCGTGGCTTTAGGCAGTCAGAGAGGGGCGAGATCACATTTCACTCCGGTGAATGGGCCCCCTGCCGGGCCTGTGATTGTGTTAGGGTGAGGGTGGCTGATTCGAGCTCCGGTCACACAGGGTCACACACACACTTTGACGCTCATTTGGTCAGCACGGCTGGCTGAGCTTCCCGAGAGGAGGAAACCGACCAGGGTTCAGTGCGCGCAATGAAAACAAAGAAAACTGCACTTTCATATCAGGGAAAATCAGACCTTTGACTTGAAGACGGAATGAGGGAATGTCAGTTCCACAGAGAGGGAGTGTTATTCTAGGTGGTGGATCTTGTTTGCATGACACCTTTCAACTTCCTACATGATAGATAGCCTGCGAATTGATGCTCTTTCAGAACAGACTTGTTATTCAACGTAAATTATTTTTTATTTAGTGCTAACAGTCTGACTCCCATCATGTTTTCTT